ATGCCAGCCAGCCCCGCCCCCTGGTGGGCTGAGCTGGCCACACACACACAATAAATAAATGTAATAAATAAAAATAAATAAATATTAAAAAAAAAAAAGTGCCTGCTTAGGCAGAACACAGACCAGGTTCAATCCCTGGCATGCCATGCACGCCCCACCCCCTGGGGCGAGCTGACTGTAATTGAGACTGGGCATGGTGGTTCGCACCTGCAATCCCAGCGCTTGGGAGACTGAAAACAGGAGGTTCACTAGGAGTCTGATCTGTGTAGTAAGACCCTGTAGATCCTCTATTAAATACATTAAAAAAAATTACTTGCTGTTTTCATCACCACTGCAAGAAACCAGTCTTTTAATCTATCTATTTATTTGGTACAGGGCCTCACTACACAGCTCAGACTTGTAGTGATCTTCCTGTCTCAGCTTCCCCACACCTGCTGGGATTACAGGCCTGCTGAGATTACAGGAGTGTGAAACCAGTCTTTTAAACAAGACCAGTCTGAGCATAGTGACACATGTCTCTAATCCCAGCACTTGGGAGGCTAAAACAGGAGGATTACTGTGAGTTTGAGGCCAGCTGAGGCTACAAAATGAGTTCAAGGCCAGCATGAACTGCACACTAAAACCCTGTCTCAAAGAGACAAAAATAGGACCAGGTTTATAGCTTAACAGACAAAAGCACCTGCTTAGGCAGAGGACAGCGGCCAGGGGTTCAATCCCCAGGATGCCATGCTGGCTCCGTGCTGAGACAGCAATTGAGACTGGGCATGGTGACATGTACCTGTAATCCCAACACTTGGGAGGCTGGAAACAGGAGGATCACTACTAGTCCTATCTATGTAGTGAGACCCTGTACACCCTGTAGACCCTGCCCTAAATTCATAAAAAAGATAGAGAAAAGAGGGGGGAAAATACAATAAAATGAAACCAAAATGTTCCTCCTGGCTGGCTCATCCATAGGAAAAATATGCAGGTTGGGGAGATGGCTCAATAGGATAAGCACTTGACTGGCAAACGCAAAGATCTGAGTTCAATCCCCGGTTCCACAAAAAAGAAAGAAAGAAAGAAAGAAAGAAAGAAAGAAAGAAAGAAAGAAAGAAAGAAAGAAAGAAAGAAAGA